CCCATACTTTCACATTCAGTAGTGATTGCAGCCATTGTCTACATGACCTCTGGTTCAGTACAAGTTTCCTCATAAACCCTTTCCTCTTTTGCCATGTAGTAAATACCGTTGATAATTTTGCAATACTCACCCCAACCCGCAAGTGAAAGTTTCAGTAGGTAGTGTTTGTAGTAGGTGTTAAACACCTTGATCAGCATCAGATAGAGGTGAAGTCCCTCTATGGCCATCCAGGTGAAACTGCAGAGCAAGGAGAAATGCATGAATGCTGCAACAAACACACACACGCCCTCTTGGTCCAGTGTAGTTCCCCACTCAGTCAGCAGGAAGGATGAATTGAGCAGAAACAAGGCCCCACTCAGGGATACGTGAATAGATAGTGAGTAGTCCAGTTTGTGGTTACTGAGGAGGAGACAAATATGTCAGATATGTGAAGTCCACAGACAAGTACATTATTATGCATGCTAATTTTATGATACATACCGACTGAAAGCATACATCAAAAGAGACAAAGCAGTAAAGAAAGCTGACAGACCGCAGCCTATGTAACTGATGTATGACAATATTTTCCAGTGGACTCCTGCAATTTGACCTCTTATCTGCAAAAGTGATGAAGATTGTCTGTAGTTTACATATTTACTTTTACCAATATCTAAAAACAAGTGAGAAAATTAAGAAATAGGGAATTTTAGTACACCTATATTGAATAAAGATCATTTAGATCACTATAATTAGCTGCTAAAAACAAGAAGTTCATCAGGAACAACTTACCAGAAGAACAGCAAACGGTGTTGTATGGTTACAATAGCACGCAATGTCCTGTTCATTTGATCGGTTGAAGCTTTGAGTCTCACATCCATCAGTTTTCCAGGGTGAGCCTAAAAAATAAGTAAAACTTTGTTCTTTGCACATAAACAATTTCATATTTTAAATGCTGCAGCACTTAAAATATGAAACTGTATACATCTGTGCCTTTTCATTACTGCTTTCTTAACTTCACTTAAGCATATGCAACATTTTTAAAAGGCAGGAGGTAGAATGTGGGGCGAGCCACCAGTACATCACATTCCTAACTGAATATGCACATCCACAGATGTGCATCCACACATCCACATCTAGAGACGAAATACAATATAATACAACTTTATTTGTATAGTACATTTAAAACCAGAGATACACCAAAGTGCTTCACAAAATCCAATAAAACAGTAGCAAAATACAAAAGCAGATAAGCTAGCAGGCGGGAGGCATTGATTAACCAAGCATACAAGCACGCAAGATAAGCAAGTAAGACTTAAAGATAAAATCGATAAGATGATCTCAGTGTTCTACTGGGAATATACACGCTGAGGAAATCAATAAGGCAGCTAGGTGCAATATTATTTATGGTTTTATAGGCGAGCAGTAGGATTTTGAAATCAATGCGGTATTTAATTGGAAGCCAGAGAGAATTGGGGTGATAGACTCAAGCCCACCTGTAGCAGTTAGAAGGCGAGCTGCTGCGTTTTGGGCAAGTTACAATGTATAGAGCAGGGCAGGACGGTGTGGTTGTAGTAGAAATGAGTGTACAAAGAGGCTAGAGTCTCGAATAGACCCCCCCTCCCCCCCAGGAAGAACATGCAGAAATAGGAAGCTCTCATCAAAAGTTTAGATTTGAGGTTACAACGACTGCATCAAAATACAGTTATGCTTGTCTCTGCAGCAATGTTGCACTGTGTCTATTACACTACATGTCCTAATTCACATACAAAGATCCATTTACTTACATCAAACTACTGGAGTTTTAAAACACCATGTTTATAAAGCCAATATAGTGTAAATAAATCAAGCCAGTAGTTAAAGATTCCCCAAATTGTCAGTTAACAAATAATTAGGTAAAAAAATATTAATGTGTCCAATCTCATTACTTTGGTGTTCATCTTGAAGTAACTAATAAAACTGATATATACTTACCATTTTCATCAAATTCATCAAAATAGTGACAGACTAACTGTGAGTCATCCTGTAAAATTAGAAAAATGTTAATAATGCAAAGTCAAATAAGCTTCTTAAACAGAATAAAACTAGTAAAAGAAAACTTAGAATGATAAAAATCAAGTCACATATTTTTTCCCCTTTTTATGAGCCAGAACATTTAGTGTTGCACAATTTAGTGGTTCAGTGTATGATTAGGCAGCAGACACCGAGATTATCATACATAGTGATCTCAGTTGCTCTCTTAATCACAGGGAGTGACTGCAGCCGATGAAACTGCGTGTTTGATCTGACAGACTGTTGTGCTAGATGCCTTTACTGCCACAGCATCAAAGGGACTTTTGACATGTTGGACAAATATGCAAACCATTACACCGTGGAACCATAATCCGATTACAAATTTTCAATAACTACAAGAATAAACATTTCCGTAAAAACAGACTTACATCCAGTTGACCTTTGTCTGTTTTAACTCTAAAGGTCATCTTGATTGGAGAAGACAGATTTCTGAGGCGCTCTTCCCCCAGCACCTCTATCCTGAGAACCACTGATACAATCTTTTCCTGATCAAACTAACAAAGGAATGTACAGTAAGAGAGGAAATAAAGACCATTATTATATGGTATAAATACAAATGTTTTATGTACATAATTTGTTTTAAATGGGGATAATGCTCATGACTGAGAATATAAAAAAGTTCATCAAAACATATTGAAATAGTATAAAAGATATAGGATATACTTGGAAATGGCCGTGATACATGAAGCTGACCAAACCAATAATCCTCTTCTCCTCTGGGATGGTCTTTAGAGCATCGACAGGCAGCCAAATCTTAGGGATGAATGAATGATTCTCAGGGTGCAGCTAACAGTGGATGGGAAAAAAAGTCAATTTATATCTTTCTGCAGAACAATTTAAGGGTAGTTTTAATCAAACATAATAATAATAATAATAATGGATTAGATTTATATAGCGCTTTTCAAGGCACCCAAAGCGCGTTACAATGCCACTATTCATTCACTCTCACATTCATACACTAGTGAAAGCAAGCTACGGTTGTAGCCACAGCTGCCCTGGGGAAGACTGACAGAAGCGAGGCTGCCATATCGCGCCATCGGCCCCTCTGGTCATCACCAGTAGGGTCGTGCCCAAGGACACAACGACCAGGACAGAGGACCCGGGGATCAAACTGGTGACCTTCCGGTTACAGATGCGCTTCCCGACCCCCTGAGCCACGGTTAAGATAAGGACTATAAATTA